ATTAATCTAAATTAGGAAAATCTCTAGCTGGTCTTTACTTTAAATATACATGCATAAGCCATATCATCCATTTATCATTTATAATAGATGAAAATCACATTAATGTTATGGACTATAACAAATATGTGCAGTATGCTTATTAATGCGAGTGTTCTCTCAATATACTCATGTTAGAATGCATGTTATTTGAGACGGACAATAGAAGATGCATGTCATATCAGATTTAATGAGATAGATGTAACAATCTTAAATCATTTTTCTTATGCATTTATTTTTATCATTCTAGATAAAATGCAATATATATAAAACTATCTAATGAAATCTTAATACGATTAAATAAAAATGTTCAAAATGAAGATATTTAAGACATATCAAAAGTCATACAATAAAAATTTGCTAAATCAAGAGATAATGCATTTTTATCATATTCGAGAGAGAAACCTCATAAATCAAAATAATTGAAACTAGAAATAGAATTAAAGTCACCTATCAGTATTATAATAACTTTATTAACTTGGATGACAAATTAAAAATGTCCCAAAACAAATTTTCTCTCTCCTCTCTCCTCCTTAACATTCTCTCATTCTCTTCTTTCCAGCTAAGGCAACAAAATGTGGTGAGGGAGATGGGTTTAGGGTGCTTAAATGGGGTGGTGGGATGAGATATTTTTATTTTTTTTTGACATTGCACCATAGCGCTCGAAACCATAACAACACATCACTTGACCAAAAATACTACAAATTCAAATGGTTGGCACCACAATGCTCGTCAATCTAATTAAAATCCTCGAAATAGAGAGGAAAGCATTGTTACACTCGCAAGATTAGTGTTGCAATGCTCCCATAAAAAAATTCAAACATGCAAGAATTTCAATGTGGTCATATTAGGTTTGTAAAAACCAGTTCAGCTGACCGGTTCAATTGAACCGGTCGGTCGCCCTTTTATTAATCCTGCAAGCAGGAGTGGGCGAACAAAGCGAACAGGCGTGATAGAGAGTGACGAACTCGTGTGTGGAAGGGATTGGGAGGTTTGTTTCATCATTTTTAGCGAATGGTATCATTTGATGATAAAAATCTAACAACTCATTTTCATTTCAATCACTAAAAAAACAGATATTGAGAAGGAAACACAAGAAGAAGGAAGTTCTGTCGAGACGAACGACTGAGAGGAAAGTGAGAGAATGTTTGTTAATTTTTTTTATTTTTTATGTATAAATCCTTCCTTATTCTTTATCTAATTAGTGGGGAATACTTGAAGACAAGGGTAGAGACTGAAAGCAAGAAGGAATAATTTGGAAAGAAATAGGAAAGAATTCGAGAATCATTTTATTTCGAAAGTGGAATAAAGAGTAAGTGAACTATTAATTAAGTTTGATTTAGATATGAATTTATATTCTTATTTTATAATTGATGAAATCATTATTGTAGGAACGATTCAATTAAAGAGAACATTGGTTCATTGGTTCAATAGAGAAGGAATGAAATTGCAAGGAAGGAAGAGAAAATTGTTATAAGGTAATTTTATAGAATGAACCAAATGTTTGTTGAGGCATTCAAATTTGAATATAATACTAATTAATTATTATGTTATTGTGAATAGTTCTCAATAAAAGATGAATATTAGAAGAGAAAACTAAAGTAAATAATTATAGTTATTTGAAATTTCATTATTTTATTTCTAGTTTATTTTGAAAGAAATATTTATATAATTATTTTGCTTATTTGAGGTTATTATGAATAAAGCAATGCAAACTTCAAATGTATATATGATAATATGCATCAATTATCATAATAAAGTATGTAAAAAAGACATGAATATATAAAAAAATGTAAACAAATAGAAAGTAAAATTATAAAGCAATTGTATTTATATGTATTTAGAAAGTATATGTTAAAGAAATGATATATGAATGAATGAAAAATAAATGAAAAAGGATAAACATGCAAATTTACAAGAGTTCACTCCCGTATGGTACTGGTTGGGGAAGCAACGCACCCGTGCACGTTAAAAATGAAAAGGAAATAGAAATGAAAATGAAAATAATTGTACTTTAATTGGTACATTTAGACGGTGCTTCTGTACAAATGAAAATTATTATGAAATATAATTGAATGTCAAATTTATTAAAAGAAATGTTAAAATAGAAATGAATAATTATGATTGAATATAAAAAAGACTTATGTGAGATTATAAGGCTTATAATGCATGAAAAGTGTATGTGTATTGATTTGATATTAAGAAAGGAAGATGTATGTATTATGATATATCTATTTTGCTATTTTATAATTGATAATAATTACCCACTGAGTTTACATAGTAAACTCAACGTATAAAGTTAATGTTTCAGATAAATATCCAGAATTAGAAATGGTCGGAAGTAAGAGTTTGCCTATTGAAGACGATGCAATAAGGAAAACATGTAAATCGTCTAATGTAAATTTTAGTTTTCTTTTAAAAGGTGAAATGAATAGATTTTAGACTATTTGTACAATAGTTGCTCTTAAGTTGAAATGAGAAAATTGTATGTTGTATTGCTTATAAATTATATTGAATTAATTCTACTGTCCAACTTCTAATTCTCTCCTTGTTAAGTCGAGCATCTGAACTAGATCATTATAAGGTCATTAACAGGTCACTAGCAAATAATTCATCTAATGCACATGATCAGGATCATTATGTAACATCCCTGCCAAAATCATGCCCAAGTCGATCAATTGATTCTCAACCAATAATGATATTGTGAGAACCATTAAATGATGAAGCCTTTAATTAATGAACAAATTACACCAATTTGAAGCTCTAAATGCCACAAACATAATGAGGCAGACAACTAAGAAAAAAAATCAATAATCAGCTCATTCAAAGAAAAAATTGAGGTCTACCTCGCATTTGATTGCTATTAAAAAAATGGTAACAATTGGGCATAACATTATGTTGATTTCTTTGCCTTTATGGAAGCAAACAAACGCCATTGACAAATTATGAACCAATGCATGTTCGAGCAACAATGATCTTAAGAAAAATATAGGAATCATTTTCAGTGCCAATATAACATCACCATTTTATGGTTTAATATTATATTTCTCAATTATACTCTATTATTATCAATTAATAAAGATTTATGTTTTTATCGACATATTAGTAAAACTGAAGTTAGAGAGGCTTTAAAAAAAATGAAGGTTGAAAAAGCTGTTGGACCTGATGATATTCCAATAGAGGTGTGGAAATGCTTAGGAGATGAAGGAATTTCATGGCTTACTAAACTTTTTAATACTATTTTGAAGACTAAAAATATGTCATATGAGTGGAGAATGAGTGTGTTAATTCCTATTTTTAAGAATAAAGTTGATGCACAAGATTGTGCGAATTATATAGGTATTAAGTTAATGTGTCATACTTTAAAACTATGGGAAAGAGTTATGGAGCATAAGCTGCGGCGTGATACTGATGTTTCTCAAAATCAATTTGATTCATGCTGGGTAGGTCGACTATGGAAGCCATACATTTATTAAGAGGCTTGATGGAGAAATATAGGGGAAATAAGGAGGATCTACATATGATATTTATTGATTTAGAAGAAGCATATGATAAAGTTCCAAGATAAGTGCTATGGAGAGTTTTTGAAAAGAAAGTAGTCAATAATGCTTATATTCAAATCATTAAAGATATGTATGCAGGAGCTATTACTTGTGTTCAAACACAAGGTGGATTGACCAAGTATTTTCCTATTTCGGTTGGGTTACATCAAGGATCAGCCTTAAGCCCATATCTTTTTGCTTTAATCATGGATGTCCTCACTAGACATTTGCAAGAGGATGTACCTTGGTGTATGCTTTTTGCTGATGATATTATTCTTGTTGATAAGACTAGAGAGGGAGTTGAAGGTAAACTTGAATTATGGAGGTCAACCTTAGAGTCTAAAGGTTTTTGCTTGAGTAGATCTAAAACGGAATATATGGAGTGTAATTTTAGCAGTAATAGTCCTAGTGAGGGGATTGTGACTTTGGGCGATCAAGTCATTAATAAGAGTACACGTTTTAGATATCTTGGATCTATTGTTCAGAGTGATGGTGAAATAGATGGGGATATTATTAGCAGAATTCAAGTTGGATGGTTGAAGTGGCGGAATGCATCGGGCTTGTTATGTGATAGAAATGTACCCCTCAAACTTAAGGGAAAATTCTATAAGATGGTAGTGAGGCCTGCAATGCTTTATGGTGCCGAATGTTGGCCATTAAAAGAGAAGCATAATACTAAGTTAAGTGTGACAGAGATGAGGATGCTCAGATGGATGAGTGGCTTTACCCTTAGAGATATGATACGAAATGAGCATATACGTGAAAAGGTTGGAGTAGCTCCAGTAGAAGATAAGATTAGAGAGAGTCGCCTTAGATGGTTTGGTCACATAAAACGGCAGCCTTCCGATGACCCGGTTAGGAGAGTAGAGGTATTAGATTTGACTTATGTTAATAAAGGTAGGAGTAGACCTAAAAAGACTTGGTTAGAAAATATTAGAAATGACATTTCTTTATTAGATTTAAATGAGAAATTGACTTTTAATAGGACACAATGGAGAAAAAAGATTCATGTAGCCGACCCCACGTAGTGGGATAAAGGCTTGATGATGATGATGTTGTTGTTGTTACTCTATTATTATCAATGGCTCATGATTTCATCTTATTTATATATGATTGGGATGTGCTGATCATCCCTTTGACTAAACTGACCAAATTCAACATCATATGATTTAACCATCTCATCAATAAATTTGTCAAAAATTAAGTCAATATGTCTCCTAAAATATTTTTATAAATATTTTAATTCAATTTTCAATAATTTTTGAATAAATAAATTTATAGAAACTAATATTTGATCAAGTTAATTTTCATGCCATATTAATATTCATGTGTAAATATTTTTAGAAGTGAAGTACAAATTATATATATTTTAAGGTTGAATTAAATATAATAAATTAGTCAAACTTTATATATATTTTTTCCATTCTTCGAACGCGTTGGTTGCAGTCTCGGAGGGCAGCGGAGGGAGTGGCGGTGGAAGAGGAGACAAGATGTCGGGCCTGCGAAGGCTTCTATCTCCGATGAAAGCTTCGGCATTCTCGATTCCTCTCCCTTCACTGTTTTCTATTTCCAGAAGTCCCTGTAAGTTTTTCCCAATCTTTTCTCCATTTTGTTCACTCTACCTAGTAATTTATTATTATTTTTATTTGATTTGGATGCTTAGTGCAATTCGTGCGAATTACGGGCTTCCCGCTCTTTTTTTGGAGCTGAATACGCCTTTGCTGTTACATCCCTGCTGTTCTTGAATCGACCTAGAATTTTGGGAACCCTATTTCGGTATAATGAGTTTTTTGATAATTCGAATGGGGCTGTTGCTGCTTTAGATTTTAATCAGAAGTTGTTGTAGCTGAGAAGTTCATGATAACTTCAAGCGGTGTTCTGTCGGAATCATCATTTTACAATATTAAGGTGCTGCTGAAGTGTTGGGTTTGACGGTGCTTTGATTTAGAAGGTCAACAGGCAGTGGCTGTTGAGTTTTCGCTCTTCTATCCCCACTCATGCAACTTTGGATTGTAGATTTCATTTGAAATCATTTGCGATCAATAATGTGGTTGAATACATAGTTCTTGTTGCATGGCTCAAGATGCCCATCAATTGTGGAGCTTAGAACTTAACAATTAACATTGACTATCATCTTGTGATCTCCCATAACAAATGAGACTTTGATGCCCACAACCAACAAAGTATCTCAACCTAGTAAAATCAATTCATTCTCAAATTAAACACATCAAATTGTCCAAATCATCCTGGAGTAGAATACCCAGCTGATGCTCTCTCCAAATCGGAGACTTCAACAACACTAGATTTGTATTTAAGGAGGTGCATTGAGGCTATCCATTTCTTAAGGGTTTTAGGGGCCCTATGTGAACAATCTCTTGAAGAAAATATAAGAAATCCTCTTGGATGGACTCATCATCTCTTCTTAATGCATGAGATGTCCTTAAATATCATACTGCAATTGCTTGCCTCCATTATTAACAAACCTCATCATCATGGGCAGTGAATTGAATAAGGGAGTACTAATCATTTCACTTTGATTTTTAAATATACATAATATTAAGTATCGCTTTGATTTTTAAATATGGTACTAAATGCTTCTTCTCCAATCATTTCATATCCTCTTAGTTTTAAATTCCATTGAAGATTTTGTTACCAAATCATTGTTATTTATTTCACAGCTCCCATATCTCAATATGCATCTTATTTGGAACTAAAACCTTATCTTTATATATCTTTTTTAGGGCTAACTTCGATTTTTTTTAATCAATCTATAATGAAACTTAATTATATTGTTCATTATGCTCTTGTAAAATAATTTATTCTTTAAAGTTCTCATTTAGTAATCACCTAGAAGAAGAGAAAAATGAAATATAAAAAATAAATATAATGTAAGTATTTAGAAATTTTGATCAAGTTAGATGCATTGAAAGTGAATATAATATGGTCTTAGGGGCTGTTTAGTTTGCAGAATTAGGAGGTTAAAGTAAAACAATTACACATATTTACTAAATTCGGTTGTTTGGTTAATTTTGAGCGGAACAAAAGAAAACAATCCAAAGCATTAGGCGTGTATTAAGGGGCGTGTTTCGTGCGAATTAGAAATCCGTTCATATTGAGCGGGTTATAAAACCGTGAAGGTGTTTTTTTGGCAGGAATACGTTGGGGAAGTGTTAGGGAGGAGTTATCGTTGGAGCTTTGAGTTCCTCTGCACGAGTTATTTTTTTTTCTTGATATTGTTTAGGCCTCTCCAATGGCAAAAGCTAGTAGTGGAAACCCTATGGTTGTGAATCGAATGACAGAGTTGTCTTTATTCCGTTGTTGAAAGGGCGATCCGTTGTCCTGGATTGTTTTGGGAGGAGAAGGTGGTGGCGGAAGATTCTAGAGCTGAGAAGGTAATTTATTCCTTTGGTTTCTCTTGCTATATGTTTCTTTATGGAGAGGAGGGAAGGGATGCCAGTTTCTGGGGTTTCGACGAGAACGAGGACAACGAATATTGCGAAAAGGAGAGACATTGCGAGCTTCTGAGGCGATGCGGAGGTCAGCGAGCGGGTTCCGGGGCGGGAGATGTAGATGCCATGGTTACCAGTCAGGTCGGAGAGGGGGATATTGCTGAAGAAAGAGGTGTCGGGGAGTTCGCCGGAAAAGGAGTTGAAAGAGATGTTGAGGGAGACGAGGTTCTGGAGGGAAGCGATCGGGGTCGATTCGCCGGTGAGGAAGTTGTGGGAAAGATCGAGATTTGTGAGCTTTTTGAGCTCGGAGAACTCAGATGGAAGGTAGCCAGGGAGTTGGTTGCAACTGAGGTTGATGGAGATTTCGAGGGATGGGAGGAGGCCGAGATTCGGCGGGATGGCACCAGAGAAAGAGTTTTCCCTTAGGTCTAGCAGCTGGAGCTTCAAGCAGGAGATAAGTGAACAATGTTTGAAAAAATCCCTCTTTCCTTGATATGTTGTTTGACTATAATCAAGTTTGTAGGTAAAAAATATTTAATGTTTGACATTCTGTGCAGAGGGAGCCATCGTAAGTTTTCTTCAACTCAAACCTGTAGTGGACTATTGTCCTAAGCTTGCTTCGGTTTAATACCTGAGGTAAGCTCCAAGTGGACTTTGGCTTCTTTTGGGGTGGTTTTCTTACTTTTCTTAAAACAATTTTTTAGTATAATTTTTAAAAATTAAGTATACTCTATGTTCCAGTTTCATTGTTATTTTGGCGGAGGATCAGCTATTTTTTTATTTGTTTCAAGTAGATCGGTTGAGAATGTAGCTTACTGCTTCTGCATAATTATTGTATACTCTATGTTTCTTTTATTCTATTTATAATTAAAAATTAAGTGAAATGAATGTGGATGCTAGAGCTGGATGATTCATGTATTGTCTTCAGAACTATAGTATATTATATTCTGAATTGTTAGCATGAATTTCTGGATCTGATACCAACGTTATATTTTGGTTGTATTTTCTTGTTTAGAGCTGTTGGATGTATTTTTCCAAAATCCTATTTGAGCTGGAGTTATTGGGATGTTTGTGTTGGAGCTGCCCTACTCATGCCTTGTCTTCAGAACAATAATTTATTAATCTGAGTTGTTAATATGGATTGTTCTAATTCGGTTCTATGTTAATTTTGAGATTTGTTGGTTGCATTTGCTCAATTTTTTTAACTGAATTGAATGGAATGTGGATGCTAGAGCTGCATGCTTCATTCGTGTTCTTCAGAACAATAACATATTTTTCTGAAAGGGTAATGGTAAAACTGCATGTCTTTATCAGTAGTTCCATATACCCTTTATGGCTTCTTAATTATATATGTATATATGGGAACAATTAGTTTAAAACTCTATACTAGTCAACACTTGAGGGCTTTATTTAGGGTTAGTTTAAGTTGGGTTAAGATGACCACATAAATAATTTAAGCATTTGTGTTAGTGTTTGATTACTGCCCCATGTTAATTTGGCATTGCCTTAAGTTAATCCAAGGCTAACTTAATCCCACTAGTTTTCTGGAATAATTTTCTTGATCTTGTTTAAACCTTGTGATCATGGTTTGTTCTTTCTTGTTACAAGCCTATACCAAATCTCAACCTCATCATTTGAATGCCTTATTTCTTTCTTGCGAGAATCTGCAGTCTGTAGTAGGAAGCTACAAGCAGAGCCCTTGCAACTTATTTGTCTCTGAACCTCTCCATGCTTTTTTATTTTGTTTTTTTTTTATCGAGTCAATTTTATTAGTATTTCAATGTTTTCTTTAACAAGTTACCTACTTCAGAAAAAAACTCTATCAATGGATCATAAAACAAGATGATGAAGTTTATTAATACGCACAGGGCAGGGAATTATTATGGATGAAGAAAAGGAAAAAGATTTGGTTCCATGTCTCTTGGATTTTATAGCATCTCTTGATACAATATTGGCATAAAGTTTCTCTAGAAATGAAGCTTTTTCAAATACCATAAAGGATTCAGTGTGAAGATTTGGTTCCATGTCTCTCGGTTATAATTGCTTTTATCACTTAAATAAAGAAAAAAATCAGTGTGAAAATTTTATTAGCTAAAATTATTTTTGTAAAACATTACTTGATAAAGAAAATTTTAAATTTTCAAAAAATTAAAATTAAAATTTCTCTCTAGCAGAAGTATATTTATGTCTATATGCAGCACACTACTAAATTAATACACAGCAGAATATTATATCTTATAATCTAAATTTTTTTTTTAATAAGATAGTGCAATAAATAAATGCACTGATTTTTTTATAACACCAAATAATATTAATTATTATAAATACACTACTTTTATAAATGCACTAGTTGTAATGCAAAAATAAATTATTACAAATAATGCGCTTTTACTTTACTCTGGATCTACCTAACCAAACAAGGGAAACAATTCTCCTGCATTTATTTTGCAGACAACCAAACAATCTCAAAGTATTCGGAATGCACTACATTTACTTTACATTGCATTTACTTTACACTGCATTTTCTTTTCAGGCAACCAAACAACCCCTTAGTTAAAGATAAAGACATCAAAAAAGGTTAACGAGGTCATTGTGACATAAATATAAATCTCTTGATGTGGCCATACAATTTGATGACTAGATTTTTTATAAATCACTCTTAATTCCAATTAAGCTATCCTGCCTTTTGTGGACCGCTAGAACAATTAGTACATAGATTTGTCCGTGTAGACCCTGTTTGTTTCAACTTTTTGTTTGATTTGCAACAGCTGGAAACTGCCATAAAGCCTATTCGGATGAAATCTGCCAAGTTCTTTTTTAATCTTCTATTGTGAAGCAAATTTACCCGTATTTGGATGGAATGGCCAACTTATTTTTCAAAAAAAAAATCTTGAAAATGTTACTTTTAAAAGCAGTTTTGAAACTGCTTCATAAAAGCAGCTTGTTAACAACAGTTTCTCAGTCCCGGCCAAACAAGCCTGAAAGTATTTATCTTATACCATAACCTTTTACCATAACTTCTCAAGTGCCAAGGGAAATGACCTATTAATGGGTTTATTTGTTTTGATTGAATAATGCTGATTTTGCCACTAATGTCTGATATGTTGATTCTGATTTAGATTTTTTTGGTTATTTGTTTCCCATTTTATGAATATTTCTCTTTTACTTTAATAAAAAATAAATGAATTTTGCATCATTGTAAGAAAAAACAATTACATGTTCTTGTGTTTCACTAGTAGTTATAGTTGTTTTGCTAATTACATATACTTATTTATTTATTTATTTATTTTAGCTAATTACATATACTTGTTAATTAAATTTCTTTTTATTCTAAGTGGACTAATTAATGCACATGGGGGGCACCAGACAACAGACGCCTTGAAAGCATGTATTATTTGAAGTTTGGACAATTATTTTAAGTTTTAACAGTTAGTCTGTGGCATTGTCATTAATGATTGTTTTGTTTCTTTGCTATATCTTATTGATTTTCATGTTATGGATGGTACAGTTTGTGGAAGATCTGGACTGTGGAAGATTTTGCCCAAGCATGTTTACTCTGAATCAGAAACTCAGATTCTGGCATTTGGAAGGGTACTGGAGAACAAAGCTTTGCACAGCTCAAAGTTCTCAGGCAAGCTTTTAGAGGTTGCTAGTCATTGAATTTATGCCACACTTAAAAAATTCTTATGCAATATTCATTGAATATAAACCACCAGAAACGATTACTCTTACTCTTATACTACTATATATATTTTATAATTACTTGTATGCCTGTCTGAATATCCAGCTCTTACTAATATGGTACTCTCTAACACTCTTCAGCTGTATATGAGATAAAAGTGGATTCAAAATTAATCACAAAGACATGTTTTATGTGTTCTTGTTTTTAACATTATAATTAAGGTTAATTTACAATAGAGGCACAATAAGTAGTTGATATGATTTTATTTAATAGTTGTTTGCTATAAAATAAGCATAATAAAATCGGAAATGTTTATTTTTTAGATTTGTCTCACATTAAAATTCGTTTGTACTAAAGAAAAAATAAATATAATTTAACATTTTAATTTTGTGATTAATTGAGTAAATTTCTCATTAGCAGATTAGCCTAATACCATCTGTTAAAATTGATACTTGATCTAAAGTGAAATGTAAACTTCTCATGATCTTCACATAAATTTATTGTTTCCTAAAAACATTAAACAGAATATTCTTCTAGGTTTATGAAATATTATTTTTGGTTAATATAAACTATCTAGGTCGGTATATTTGGAACTGTTAAAAAATATGGTGGTATACCGATAATTATGAAGAATTGGTTGCTATATCAGGAACACGAAAGTTTGTGATGGTATACTAGTAAAAATCCCTAGATTTTAGTGACATTTTTTTTTTGTATATCAGTAAGCGTGAAAGTTTGTGGTTGTATACAAGTTAAAATACCAAGATTTTAAGGACATCATTTTCTTTTGTTCAAAATAGAAACATCTGTGCCTATTCTCAATAATTGAGGTTTCTGAAATGCATTTATTTACTTTTGCTGAATTTAAGAATTTTTGGCAGCGCTTGGTCTTTTACAACTAGGTTTTATGTAAGTCATTAGGTCAACTCTTTGGTAGCTCCTATTATTGCAACCAAGATTCTGATTGCCTATTGTTAAAGCTATGACTTGCCAAAAAACTACTTTCTGGAGGAAAAAAAAATGATGGAGGAATAGTTTGGTAATACTTTTTAATTGCTTTGCTAAGGCAAATACTGTTACAAAACAGTTGTACCTAATTGGGTTAAAAAAGCTAAGACACTCACCAAATTTTTTCTTTGAAGTTGTTTTTTGAGTATAGATTTGAATCACAGAACATATTTTGGATGGTAGTTCCTGAGCCTCTTTTATGTATCGAAGAAGCCCAACCATAAGAGCGCTAATTTGGTTGGCATTTATAATTTGCATTGTTAGCCAATTTGAATGCGGAAAAAACTGCATTGAGTTATGATGGATGAGTTGTAGAACTAGGAGCATAGAGTGAAAGGGAAATGATTGTATTCGAGAGCAGGAAGTAGTGCTCATTAAAAATAAATTAATGGAAAATGGACTTGGTTCATGCTCTATATCGCATGTAAAAAGGCTACTAAGGCTGTGGATATGATAAAATTGAAAAAAAGGCTAAGATGAAAATGTAGTATACAAACGATAGTGCGTTGAAATGTGCAAAAAGATTTGGACAACATAAAGATAACATCTTAAGGATGATACATAAAGTTGACGTTAAATAATTGGGATTATTATATTGATAAATAATTGATGATTTCTTGTGCAATCCATATTGATTGCCTGCCAATGATGCCAAAAAGTTTTATTTTAATTCGGGATATAATTGTTTCTACCACTAGGATCCATTTCCTCTCTTGATATATGAACTCTTTTTATGCTCTTCTTTCACGCATGCTTCACTTCCTTTTTCATTATAATTGACCACCTCGGTATCTCATAAATGCTCTTAGGCCAGAAGTTATTTGTTGGAAGCTTTCTCGGTTTATCAGTAGCTACTGGGTTGATCTATCAGCAAATAAACGACATCTATGCTATGGATGGTGAGCTGACAAATTTTACCATCCTTAACTGTGGAATTTTATGCATCTATTTAGGTTTATGGAAATTTGAACATCTCTAGATGGCTAGTTATTGATCTGCTGTTGATTTACTTTTGTAGACAATTATGCTGGCATGGAGGAGCCATCAGGATTTTTGAAGGACGATCTACATGCCTTCTGGTCTTTAGCAAGGAAGTTTCAGTTGCCTGTTGTTCTACTTGTTACAGTACTTTTGGGATGGAGGCATCCATTTGCACTTGCTATAAATGTTGCACTTCTTCTCTTCTGCACGAGGCCCAACCCATTCTCTATTTATATGTTTGTTGAGCAGGTTAGTTGTTGCGTGGCCTATCCCTACTTCCCCTTTTATTGAAAGCTTGAATTATTTTCTTTCTAATTTATCTGCTTTAAATTTGATTGAATAGATTGTTTATGGTAAATGGTTATAAGTGTGAACCTCAATTAAGTCTTTACCTTTATGCTCTAGTTTAAATTGATCCTTAGGTTCTTGCAGCATATTAGGCCATAGTTGACTACCTTTTTTGCAAATTATTTCTAGTGTGTAGACTATCTTTTTGTCCCCTTTTCCTTTTTTCTTGCGCGCGCGCACTCTCTCTCTCTCTCTCTCTCTCTCTCTCTCTTGCGCGGACACTCTCTCTCTTGCACACACACACTCTCTTGTGTTCTTGTTGTCTCGCTCTCACTATCACTCGTTTTATCCAATAATCTCCTTCAAATGGATTTATGTTTTTGATGAGTGAAGACTTCTAAATACCTATGAGTTTGGTTTTGGCTTGCTCCTAATTTTTATAGTAGTTAGATGGCATGATCATATGGCAAAATTAGGTAGGCGTGTTGATGCAGGACACAATGATATGTAATGTCATCATCTACCTTAATTTCATATTTGAATATGTAAGCATGTGCCTTAGTAGGGTTTTTCTTATAATAAAGATCTAAACAAGTGTTGCTTTATTTATAGGATATTCTAGAAAAAAAATTGTCCTTTATTAAAGATCCATACTTGATTTAACTTGTAAAATTCTCTGATAAATAGAGCAAATTCATAAGAGAGCTTCATTGATTGCTGAATATAACATTTACAAGCAAGATGCCTCCCAACTCCCCTTCTACCATGAGGCGATTGCCCACCATTCATTTGCTCTCTCTTTTGATTATGTTTCCATTCTTTCTCCTTCCCTCCCTTCCCCTATCTATCTATCTATCTATCTATGTAAGTTCTCTCTTTTGTTGGCCAATTCTCTCTCCTGTTGGCGGATTTTTTTCCCACTTTCCGGTCTATCGCGGGCAACTCGACGGAAAGTCATTCTTATGCTCTCCAAGTAATTTCCCTTTCACGATCACATTAGTCCAAATTACATGTGACAAGACTAATTTTATGAGCAGTGCTGAGCAACAATTTACAAGGGGAGGCGAGTGTTTGAGAACGAGTTAAAGAAGATGGTCCCATTTTATGTACTTGCCTCTTGACCTGGCCAAAATGCACTGTCTGCCTTTAAGTGCAACGTAAATAAGATTTGAACCTCTTTTCTTTGTCCCAAAATACGGAGAAACTTTTTTTGCTATAAATTATGGCATTTTATCACAGATTTTGATTGAATTTATTCAACATAAAATACGCACATATTCAAGATTTTTCTTGATCTGAAAATTGAAGTTAAAATCTTGATTAGATGCGAATCACTATTTGATCGCATACCTTAGTTTAATATATGATTTTGAATGCTGCAGTTGCGCCAAAGAGAAATGCATAGGGATCCTAGCCTGCAAAAGACAAAGGTGATTCCTAATTTCTTCTATTTTTCTATTTCTGATGCCACAAGGCTAATCTAATTTTTAAAATTTATTTTTCACAACTAACATTTATGTAATATTTCTTATGCTAATATTTGTTTGGCTGATTGTGGCCATGATTTTATGCATTCGTGTAAAGGGAATTCGGCCATCGCTTTATATGATACTAGACAAGATATAATGGAGTTTATTTTCCTACTTTTTATGGTATAGTTCAAAGCACATCTTTAGGCGCTGTTTTAGGCACTGTGGCACTGCCCCACTGTGGGAACTATAGCTAACTGCTGTATTATGGTTATCTTTTATTTATTTTATTTTATTTTTTTAGTTTTCATGATTAGTTTTTTTTTTCAATAGTCTAGATTTATTTGAAGATCTCAAGTATTTCCTATCAATCTTCAGAAAACAACGAGATTACTCCACACAAATCCACACAAAAATCATGAAAACAGTAGATAATTTGTATTATTTGATAAAAGGGAATGGAAAATAACAAGATACAATTGATCCTCTATTCGAGAGGAGAATCGATATCTCACAAATCTCTAGATGCCACTAGAGCCTAAAAGAAGACCTTAATCTAAGAGGTCTCAAATTTCAGCCCAAATTCAAGATGTCCTAAACCTAGGAAAACAAACTATTTAATGCATACAATCAAAAAGGAAATCTCTAAACAGCCCCTACATTCAAATTTCCCTCCTAACTCCCTAACAAATACTTCCAAATTGGCTCCCATGAAACTTGTGGCTCGTGCGGCTCATACAAGAGGCGGACTCTTCCACTTGTTATGTTGAGCCGGTCCCGTATGGACTAGCTGGATCGGTCCAATGGACCGGTCTAACCCAATATGCATGTCTTATTCACATGATGAAATCAATGAATGAGAACTTCTAATGTTACAAACCGCTAAGTCTCTGTTTTCTTAAAGAAAACATAAACTCTTTGCATTGCATTCTACTAATTGCATTACATTTTTGTTTTATCTTTGAGTGTTGTGATCAATGTTGAAGATTAGAACGATGCTTCTGACAAGGAAATCGCCTGTCTTTGTTATTTTGAAAGGTGATAGAAAAGGAATTTTTTCAAGAGAGAATAAATTGAGATTAAAAGTGAAATTCGAAGAACATCGATAGATCTATCTATATGGAAAAACTAAGCCTTAATGATAAGATTGAGTAAAGATCCTAAGAGAAATTGTTGGTGAACATGAAGGAAGAATATTTGCTAAAATATAAAGTTCTTGATGGTCTTATTTGGAGGAGACGATCATCAAAAGCCACGAGGATCTCAAGGTGAAAATTGGCATTGTTAATAAACTTAAAGTACTCGTATCGAGTAAACCTAAAGTCAAATCAAGAAGAATCAAAATAGAATATGATGAGATTTGGAAGATTATGAAAGTAGATTCAAAGAAGTATTTTAGATTGGAGGTACCAAGATGGACACTTTCAACCCTTTTCTAGTAACTAGATGCCTGTTTTTTTTTTTGAACTGTGGCTAATGTTGGACAATTTGATGTATTTGAATTTTTGGATTTCATTTCTATTTTTAAGTTAATGTTCACGGATTGTCAGTACAGCTTGATTATCACAACTTTGGCAGCATTGTAGTGCTATGGGTGCTCTAGCAAGTCACTGAATTGTAGTTTTTCCAGCTTATTTGGCTTATATTGGGTAGTTTTTTTCTTTCTTTTGTATTATAATTAGGGAAATCAGGATTCATAAAGCCAACCCTAAATAGTTGGGGATGAGGCTAATGTGGTTATTGATATTATGATAATTTTCTTAAGAATAAAAACATATCCTAAATATTTATTATTTGAAAATAGGGCTATGATCAATTACAAATTCATATTCATATGGGGGAATTAATGAATAATTGAAGGTCATATGGGAGACCTGATCCTTTGGGCTGTGACCTCTAATCTGGGAACTAGGGAGCATACCATTTGAGTTATGTCTCTTCAGTGATGATATTGTCATAAATAGTTCTTATCAACAATATAGATTTTTCAGTTCTTATTTTCTATATAAATTTTACAAATGAGTTATTCCTCTAATGAATGAGAAGCTCTAAAGTTTGTGCAGCCATGGGTGAAATTTTAGAAACTTGTGAGGTCCTCTATACTTCATTGAAGAGGTTTCAAGAGCCTTGCTAGTGTGAACCTTGTAAAATTCTTATTATTGATATGAGTTCAAGATGCTTGGGCTTAAAGATCTTATAATATTTCTCTTACCTTTTATCATCTCACATTATAACAGCACGTTCATTAGTTCATGCATATTAATGTGCTTGTATTCCCCATCTTCTTCTTTGGTTTTTGATGTGAACTATCGTTGGGCAAGGCATAAAAGGGATAAACGATATAATCAATTTTTATAGCAACTCCCGCAATCGCATAACGGAGGGAAAGAGATTAGGAATACAAGCCGGGAAGATTGACTGCAATCGCATAACGGAGGGAAAGAGATTAGGAATACAAGCCGGGAAGACTGACTACATTTTAGGTCGCCACACCCTGAGGTATTGAAATAGGTATGAAATAAATACAAGATACAATAGGATCTTCAGTTGGAGAGGAAGATCCCGCTCTCCCAAATCCCTTGTCGCCGGCTAGAGCCCTCTCAACCTTAGTAAAATTAAATTCAACCAAACACAACATAACCCTAACCCTAGGGTAAACAACCTACTTAAAGCATACAATAATTTTGCAAATCCCCAAACACAACATAACTCTAACCCTAGGGTAAACAACCTTCTTAAATTAAACACAACATAACTCTAACCTTAGTAAAATTAAATTCAACCAAACACAACATAACCTTAACCCTAGGGTAAACCACCTAAAGCATACAATAATTTTGCAAATCCCCAAACAACCCCCCTATACTAATTTTTGCTCCTACCCGTTCCTCTCTCCTATTCAAATTTGTCCTTGTACCCCACCCCAAGGGGGCAAGCATTCATTCCAGACGGGCTCTGTTTCGCCTGGTGTAAACCTTGGCCAATTCAGGGTGGACCGGCCCAGCATTGATCGGTCTAGGAGGTACCAGTCCATCAGGAGTCTGTTTATAAAAATACACGATAAAATACACTATAGCTCCTAACAACTATCACTTACCCATAAAGTACAATAACTCAAAAGACTTATTAATCTAATCCTATCTTCTCATTTCATTATTCCCCTTAAAAGTATTATACTATACTGTACACACTTTATTGTTTCCATTAAAGTTTGTTTAATTCCAAGCATCCCATCTGCAGTTTCTTTATGTGAAGAAAGTTGAAGTCGAAGATTACAAGATCTTATGTATGGCCAGAGTAGAACTGAGAGATTTGAAGATGAATGTGATTGGAATTCTGGGCGGCTGGTGGGTTTTCCAGACATCACCGGCGCAACCAGGCTGGGCAGGAGGAGCAAATAGCAGAGGCAAAGGAAGCCATTGATCAAAGCTTGAAGTTTCTTACTGTCAAATAGCCATATTTTGCTCCAGATATTTTTCTCTAGTTAGCATTCAAGCTTATGGTTCTTATATTAGCTGATTCCATTAGTTTTTGTTTACATTAGATACTATAGTCCCAGATGAGCTCCATAAGCATTTTCTGTTGAAAATTATGGCCTATTTGCAGGACGGTTTTTTTGCTGCTTTCTAAAACAATTTTTTTAGAAAGCTGTTTTAAAAAGCAGCAAAAAGTTGTTCCAAACGAAGCCTTAGTAGCTAAATGGCTGCTTCTATTTCATTGCTGTATGCTATCAAGATGGAGAAAATCTTGGTCAGGATATCCAAATTTGATCAAGATAATCTATAATCATTATATTTATTCTATAAATATAATATATAATATGATTATTAAATTTATCTTGATCAAATTTAAATCAGAATGAACTATTTAATTTTAATTAATATACTTTAAAATAAATTTAATGAGCATATAAAAATTTAATCAAGATATTTTGATTTTTTTAAGATATATAAATAACATGAAATAAAAGAATATGCATGTAAATTCCCTTTTTAAATAATCCGCATTAAAAGCAAGCAAATCTGATGTTATTATGGGGGCCTATTAAATCAGATTTCCTTCGCAAGATTTTTTCCTGGTGACGACCACCACAGAGCCGCTCTCTGTTTCGCCAATCTCGGCGAGAACACGAAGACAAGCCAATGGCGGGAACGGATGAGCAAGAGGATTTCGTAAAGACTCGGGCGATGGAGTGCGATTCCTCATTTGTGTGGGACGAAGAATCGAAGCTCTATTTCCATGCCAGGTTTGTGCCTGGGAGCTATAAATTCTCCCAGCTATTGATATTTGGAATTCGGGAATTTTCTTTTTCTTCTATCAGTATCTACACTTTCAGTCAGCTTCCCCTTCATTCGCTTCTTGTTAGGGTTCGAAGGATTGAACTTTATTCGACTTCCTGTGTTTTAAGATTATTGACTGCGTTGGTTTAAGGTTTTGCTAGTCATCTGCTATTATTATGATTATTAGCTGACCCAATTCGCTAAACTTTGGTTAATTTGTTGTTGTTAGTGTTTATGATTCTGTTTTGGCTGGAATTTGTTGTATTTATTTGGCTTCCATGTATGTCGTGGTGGGCGTTGGCACCGAGCTTGTTACCTTATAGAGTTAAGTTTGAATTCAACTGATAGAGATATTTTGGAGTTCAATGATTATGTAGAAGGAGAATATAAGGAGATAAGAGAGCATAGGGACATCAACTTCAGTGGAGAAGACATATCGTTTTTGTATTGCCCGGCTCTGGTATTACAATTGAAGCACCTAGGCTCTAGAAATTTATTCACCTAATTACCCACTCGTAGAGATAGCTAGGGTTTTCAAGAGGTCAACTATCCATACTACACCGTTTCAAGGGGTATAAATAGAGAACTTAGAAGCTACTGGTCACAAGGAGCCCTCATTTAAGTAGAGGATCAGATATTGTCCCCATAACCATTACCGTTTGATACCAAACTAAGGTTATGATGTAGGTGACAAAACCCCTTATTCTAGGGTGGAAAGGTGGTTGGAGTAATTTTATATTGAGATTATTTATGACTTGATTGTTAGGATGCTAGATTGGTTTGATAAGAGGCATGGAATGTTCTTAAGTTGATGAGTGGTTAGATTGATGACTCTTGCTCCTGCTATTTGGGTCAACCAAGCGAGTTATTCTTGCTATTATGGTCGAGCAAGTGTGTTGGGGTTTGATGATTTTGAGGAATTAAGTGTTGCTCAAGAGAGGGAGTTGTGCTTTAAGGGATAGAATAATTGAAAGTAGCAAAACCATTTAAAGAAATGCTATTCTCCTCCTCCTCCTCCTTGAGAGATGAAAGATGTTGGAGTAGTAAAATTGGGGCTGACCGCAGGATTTACTCTTGCCATTGGGGTCGGCCAAGGGAGTTAGGGTTTAATGATTTTGAGGAATTAAGTGGTGCTCAAGGGATGGAGATGTGCTTTAAGAGAATATAATTGAAAGTAGTTCAAAGCAAGCCCATTCTCCCTTTTATTGAGTGAGTGTGGGCTCCGAAAATTCAACCCCGGCCTCCCCGCTTTTCCTTTATCTAAGCGAGGGAGTTTTAACGAACTAAGTTCCGGGGTAAATTTTGGAAGGCAGATGGGTTTGTAGATAAGACACTACCCAGAGATTTCGCCTTCATTTTGTGAGGACTTTATGATCTGAGTTCTGGTTTCCTATAGGCGCAAGCCCCTATAGTTAATTACCCCTCCCGATCACGAGAGAGAACTTTCGATTAAGGCTAGTCGTCAATCAGATACGTAGAATATACGTGTTATCTGACATATAGTAGCAGCATGGATTTGGATTTGGGAATTTGGAAATAGTTTGGACGTTTGGAAAATTTGAAAATAGTTGGGAATTTGAAGATCCTTCAAGTGATGCGTCATATCAACCTGCGCGTTGCTCGATCCGCCACCTTTGTCCTTTTTGCACATAGTTTAAGTTATAGGGGTCAACAGTGAGAAAATGTGGTGCTGTAGTAATTTTGAGCTCATGAATAGTATCTTGCCATGCAAAGGTGGAAGCTTCTCATCTTTATTGATTTTGAGTGTTTAAAGCCTCTTTCAACTTCTCCACCTTTTTATTGAAGTTATTATGGAAGTAATAAGATGTTATCATGGACCCTTAAAGTAAATTTTATAAAACCATAATTAGATTGACATTCTTATATAGATCCAAATGTTGGGCTATAAAATGCTATTGATATCTAAATTAAGTGTAATAGAAATGAGAATCTTAAGATGTTTGACATACTAAAATGAAGAAATTAAGAAATAATTATTTTAGAGAAAAATATTAGAGTGACATCTATTGAAGATAGTATGACTAAAAATAGATTTAGGTGATTCAGAGATTTACAATGAAGGTTGAGAAATGTGTTTGTCAGATAAGTTGATGACATTAGTATCAGATGATTATGAATAAAATGGAAAGATCTATTGTTACATTGATAGAAATTTAAAATGATCAGACAACACTCAACATAAATAAATGAAAAATAAAAATTCATATCTCCAACCGCAAATAGTTGGACTAAGGCTATTGATGATGATGTGGTGGTGGTAAATTTTGCTACATATAAACTTAATAGTTTAGGCTTCTTAAACCTAACTTAATCTTTATCATATGTACAGTCTGCGCAATATGTTTGTCAGGGCCCTTGAAAAAATGAGGGTGGCCCAAACTCATTAAAAATAGGTAAGCTATTGAGAAAGATGTGATTCATAGATAGTAAGATAATTATTCTTGATCAACTTAGTTACTATATTTTACTTATTTTTATTTTACCTTTACCTTCCTGCAGTAGTGGATTCTACCATGACCCTAATGATGGATGGTATTATAGCAGCAGAGATGGTCTTTATTACACATTTGAGAATGGAACTTACGTTCCTGTTACATGCAATGAGGTAGTTTCTTGGTTTTCTGCATTGTTTGCATGCGTAAAAGTCAAAATTTTTGTAGTAAATATTTGTCATTCTAACGTAATGGTTCAGGAAGAAAAGTCAGCAGCTCGTAAATGCACCAGCCCTTTCTCAAGTAAACCCACACAGCTTGATTCAGGTATATGGTATCCATAAGATAAACACCATATCTCCTTAAAACAATGTACGGAGGAAGGATCACAATGCCGTGTGTTTTTTTTATGATTAATGTCATTTGTCGATATCTTTGGCATTTGGTCAATTTTTGCTGAAAGAAATAAGAAAACGGTAATGGTTAAAGCTGCTATGTTGTTTAGATGCAGAGTATCTTCCTTGTTTTGATCTTTTTTGTTTTGCAATGTCTGATTTCCTGCTCCATTTTAAGATGTATCACGGTTGTTTGGCCACCTACCTAGTCTAATTTTCTGTGCAATAGCTACATTAAAAAGGGCAACTAAAATAGAAGGGCATGATTGCGGTGGCGGCTATGGGGGATTGAATTTATCTATTTTTTAATTGTTTTTATTTTAACATTTTTAAATTAGGAACTAAAAGTAATTTGGTGGTTTTTTTTTTTAAATTGCATAACTTGGTTTTTCTCCTTGTCTTCTAATAGGTATCCCACAACATTTTCCAACTGATGAAACTAAGAATGAGCTACCGCCATCACAATGGTTTGTAAAGTGGTATCTGAATTAATTCCATATCAAAAGAAAGGGTGTTATCATTCTAACATCATAAGTTTTCTATTGCAGGATTGAAGAGACACTGATTGACCTTTATTTGTCAGGATATAAGAATGAAGAAGTTAATTCGGACAGCTTACTGGCTCCCTTGACAAATGGTGAGTTTCAAAATAGTTCATATAAATCATTCTTTTAGTTTTCTGTATTTCGTATTAAATTCATTTCACTTAGCAAGTTATTCGTACATTGACCAGAGCAGGGCTGTCAGGTCCAGTGTGAGGGACAAACTGATTATTTAGCTCTAGCTGGCCCATTTGTTTGTCAAAATGGTACTGAGAATAAGCAAAATGATGAATCTACCTCAGACTATGTGCAAAACATGGATGAGTTAACTGACATAAGCTTAAGCAAAGGTGCATTCTAATTTCATCAACACTTTTCTGTCTCTGTTTTAGTAGTTGTTGAATGTTGGAATGTAGTTGATAAAGAAACTTTACAATGTGGATAATAGTTTAACCATCTTATAATGATTGTCTTATGATCTTATCTATTTTTATGCATGTTTGTGTAATTTTAAGTAAAAGTTGAATTTTATTCAAATGAATTTCAGAAGAGGAAAACTGGTATGCTCAGTACGGTCAGGTCACCCGGGTTGGTGATGATGATTTGCCAAATTTCTCTGCTGTAGATCTGTGGGACTGGGAAATTATTATGGAGACTACAAAAAACAATCATGCAGCAAGATTGATGTTGACCTTCGTATAATGTCCAAAGGAAACAAAAAAAAAAATTTTTGCATACCTCGTTTGATCGAAGAAATCCCGAAAATCCCGTTGATTTTCCGACACTCTGCTCTGATTCGCGATCAAATCCCTGCCGAAATCCCACTGCTACAGTCCTATCTCTGCGAACGACGCCGAATCCATCGCTTCTCCGTGTTTCCTGCCCAAATCCCGTTCCAGCTGGACACTCCTCTCGCCTTTAAAAGCCGGATGAGATGAAGGTTCTTCGGCACCCACTTCCGATCCAACTTCCACAAACTCCCTACTTCACGATCTTCTCCTCCCTCCTCCGATCAGAGTCTTTCTCGACTCCAAGCCACGACCAAACTCCTTCAATTCTGAAAACTGCTGCCATTCGTGACGTTCATCTGGATTTTGTTCGAGTGACATCAGGCATGCTTATTTTTTTTCCTCACTGAATTTGCATTGATCAGGCAGTATCATACTGTGCATTTATTAAATATCAGAACTTATAAACGAAATTTCAAGTTGTAACACCTTATTGGCCTTTTGATTCTATTGTAAGGATTTTAAATACCCAGTCTGGGAAAAGATCCTTTTACAAGATGTTAGTATCATAATATTATTTTAGAAGCAACAAATTAAGATGATGGAACTCAATTTCATCAACATATTGTGGCCAACGCTGGTCTTTATCTAGATGAGAAATTTTGGGAGGATTTATGTTGTCATGGAATATGTACCTTGAGATGTATTTAAATTTGTTATTAAACATTAGCTGTAGGGTTTTCTTTAAGGTTTCGTTTGGGACAGTTTTCTTCATGCTTCTTAAAGCGATTTTTTAGTGAAAAATTAAAATTTTGATACTAGAAAGCAGCTTTAAAAAGCATTAAGAAAGCTGTCTCAAACGAAGCCTAAAATTTGGACAAAAACTGATGAAGGCTATGATGCATATGCTATTAGCTGGTTTTTTCTTGGTGTCACTGCTAGAATACCAATATGAAAAAATGATTAAGCATCAATATGCTGAATTTTCGTTTGTTCAACCAGGTAGATGTTAATCACCATTAATCAGTGCTGGTGATTGCTGCTGATTTTGGCTGTAGTTTAGGACAAAATGCATAATGTGCTTTGTACAGATTAGATTTAAGGAACTATTGCTTTTTCAAAACTTCTAACGACAAATGTGTACTGTTTGAGGGAAATTGGACTTTGTTCACCTGATTTTTCCAAAATTTTAAACTTTCTCATAACCGGTCCCTTCTTGAGCTTGATGCAATATGTTTCATTTTCCTTGTCCAGGGAGAGTTTACCGGTTGCGGAGCCCTAGCATGAAATATTTAGTGTCTTTATCGACATATGATTCTTCCAATCCCACAAAAGATTGGGATTTCCCTGATTTTCTTGCCTCCAATTATGAGTATACTCCGGTTAGTCATGATCAAGTCTACAACTTAGATGGGGTTGACTATCAAAGTTCTTTCACTACTATAGATGAATTGCCTTCGACGGCTAAAAAGGTAACGGTTAGGTTGCATGTTATTACAAGCTTTAAGCCAATGGCTTTTTGATCATTAGCAATGTTAACATATTCATGGACCTAGCTTTGATGATGTTGGCTTTTGTTTTGCGTAGCTCCTCAATAATAACAATTGTGTGGTATAATATGGCGTTGCAAATTAAATAAAAGCTTTTATGTCTCATAGGCATACGTTATTAAATATTTCCAAACAACATTTTTTGATGTTTTGTGAAATTCGTTTATGCCTTGTTGATGCTTTGTAGTATTCACTTTTAAATATTCTATTGGTACTAGACCATAATCCAGTTCTTTGTTTTGCTATACAGTTGTCTTACTCTTAGGCTTTGTTTGGGATGACTTTCTTACTGCTTCTTAAAGCGGCTTTTTTGTACAAAAAATTTAATTTTTTAACAAAAAAGTTCTTTAAGAAGCAATAAGAAAGCTGCCCCAAACGAAGCCTTGGTTTCTGTTGATTGCATGATCTTAACTATGTTACACCTCCCCTTTATATTTCAATAAGAAAATATATGATTACAAAGTAAACTTTTTTTTTTGTGAGTTTGGTTTGAACTTCTTGACCTCAATCAATGGTTCATTGACCGGAATTTAAATGCATGTTTAGTAAGTCTGGAGTGATAAAATTACTGGTTCTTGTGATATAGTAGGACTCACAATTGAGTGCATAAAGAGAATAGATTTGGATCATCGTGAGAAATGTCAATTAAGTGTAAATTTGAGTGATTAAACTAAAGCATCTTAAAACAATGCCTCGTATTGAAAGACATTATGCTGATGATTTCTAGAGGAAATGATGAATTTGATCACCAAACTATTGAGAGTGTCTTCACTGTGATCCAAAATTTTATTAGTTTCCAGTTTGATTCCTTAATTCATCAAAAGAGTTTAGGGATCAAAAGAATCATATTGAAGGATCAAAAGAGTGAAATTTTAATAATTTGAGGAACCAAATTGAGGAATAAAAAAATACAGATCAAAAGAATACTCTAAATAGTTTTGGGGTCATTTGTTCATATTCTATTTATAAGAAGTTGGTTGCCAAGGATCAGGCTAAGCATAAATATTCTTATTATTTGCAAATCATACAGTTATAATAAATCATGAGAGACTTGTATTAAATTTTGATAGAACACAATCACCCCAAGCAGTAAACAGCTGTTTTCAGAAGCAAAACAGCAATAATAACCGTAGAGAATTTGAGAGAAAAACAGTGGATTTCACTAACGAAAGTTAAAGTCAGCACACGATTCAAGTTTCTTCAATTTGAGAGGAAGAAACAACTCTCCAAATCTCTAACCAAGAGACTAGAGCTCAAATACACCAAGGAGATCCCGAATTCAGATTCCAATTCAAGTTGAAACCCTAAACCTCCCAAGAGAAACTAATTAAAGCCAAAAAGAAAATTACAAATTCACTAAACAGCACCTAATTCAAATATTCCCCTCCAAAGTAATATTTAATTAGGATGTGGGCCCCATAGGACCAGCCGGCCCTCTCTCTCTCCCTTCCTTGGTTCCGCCCAGCTCCTTGGGTCGGCGCCTGTAGACATAACCCGGTCCACTAGGGACCTGTTTAATGGGTTCAGCCGGCCCCTCTTGGGCCGGCCTAACAAATTCAAATATAGTACTTGGTGAATAAAAGATCCTAGATGATTGGGGACTTTAAAGGAATTTCAGTTGATTCTAAGATGATATCGGCATTACTCAGGTGGTTTAAGTACTCATGCATGTTTTTTATATCAAATCAAGGTTATGTGACAAATGAGGATATAAATGTGAATGTTGGTAGTGGAAGTTCAACTTGGTTATTAAAATGGAGGTGATCAATGTGCTACTTAATGATAAGCGAACATTCTTAAGAAAAGCATGAAAAATCTTGAAGAGCAACTATGGTGGTTTAATCCATGTCTCCTACAGATAGAACAAGATAGTTTAACAGGGATGTGTCTTATAAACTTGATGATGTGGACATCGACCAGAGGTTCAGACATGTGTATCGCCGTAGACAGCGCAGATCGACGGCCGAGATTCAGAGTTTATATTTCTAGCTATTTATGTATTTCTTTTATGCATTGTTCTTTCATTTCCTATTGTACCCTTGGTCTAAGTTGAGTCATGAGTGTAGCCCTGAGGGCAAGAGAGTCATTGTATTTTCTTGTTTTTTTTTGGGACCTATATATAGGCCATGTCATGTTGTATTTGGGCTTAATGAATTATTGAATGAAAAGTTATCTTTGTTTCTACTTTCTTAGCATGAGTGCTTGAGAGGGAAGAGAGCTCAAGTGGAGCATTTCGCAAGGCCCACCAATCG